TTTTTTTTTTTTCTTCCCTGCCATTAATCATCGCCAAAAAAGAAACAAAGTGTATATAATATTTCTAATACTTGCAGTTAATATTAGTAATAACTGTTTGACTAGTGATGGTTTACAGTCTTGATTGATGGTAAAATTTTTCACCCTTTATATTGTTATCTTTTAAGTAATATTAGACGTCTTTTTTCGAAACAATTTTTTTCTAGTGCAATTTTATACATTTATTTGATGCATTTTTAATTTTTAGTTAAATTACATGCACCACTGGAATTTTGCCGTTGTTGTTTACCGGTAAACATTATGTCTACGAGTATCGAAAGTCTTCCAGATCAAGTTTTACTTTATATTTTTACACATGTTAATCATTATCACGATTTTGACTCGATTCGATCGGTTTGCAAACGATGGTATTTTCTTGCGATTAAAGCTGCTGCTATTATGCAACGGGCTTTTAAAAGATGTGACCAATTTAAATGGTTCATTTTTTTTTCTTTTGTATTTTAAAGTTCTATCGTTTATACGACCACCTATATTCATTTAAACAGCGGTGTACCATTAATGAATCATTGATGTAACGTATTACTAGTAAGATTTGTAAAACCAGTGCATATCAGACGAAATTTTTTATTAAACTTTCAAGGTATTCTTATCGTCATGTGGGTTGTATAGCACCTCGTTACTATCACTCAGCGTGTTACCATCAGGGTTCAAAATCTATGTTAGTGTTTGGCGGTTGCACCACAAATTACACTGCTTTCAATGATTTGTGGCAGTTTGATCTTGTAAGCTAATACGCATTCCTAGCTTTCCTTTTAAGTTTTTTTTACTCCATATTTGACACTTATTTGAAGCATTCTTTTCTCAACAAAGAGAAGAATTTGTTCAAAACAGCTTTGTTTTCTATAATTTAGTAACAGTTTTTAACATCTGTAGTTTCCGATAATTATTAATTTATGGAAGTGATTATGAGTACTAGTAATTTGATATGTTTACTTTAGGGGTATACAGTTAATGTCGTGATTTTTGTATTGTTCTAGAGTAGTCGACAGTGGAAACGGGTAGTTATTAGAAGTTCGCCATTTCCCAGCCCTAAGGCTCTGGCAACGTTAGTCCCTTATGGCGACGACGTCTTACTTTATGGCGGTTTTTCCACATCTTCGCCGAACCCTTTTCGTTGTTTATCTAAGTATTATGACGAGCTTCATTTGTTTAAATTCGACGAGCAGAGATGGATTGAGGTGTCATTTTCTTTCTTTCAAACACAGTTTAAGAAAAGCATCAAATTGTGTACTTAACTTTAAGCAAGTAATATTCCAGTTAATAGCGGAAAATGAGGGCCCAAAATTGGCAGGCCATTCTGCAGTAATTGTGGACGACTCTATGATTGTTTTTGGAGGGGTTTCTGGAGAATATGCAAGCAATACAGTTTATATTTATGACATCAAGAAGTCGCGATGGTGGTCACCCAGATTTTTGACCAGGTTGTGCTTAAATTTTTGTCTTATACTTGACATTTAGTGAGCTACTCTTTCATCTTCTTGAAGAAACATTGTGCTACATTTTACTTCCTGATTTTAGGGAAGCCCCTTCTCCTCGATGTAATCATTCTCAAGCATTAATTGACCGGAATCATTTATTTATATTTGGTGGAAGTGTTGGTCCTAGTGAAGTTTCTGCTATTAGCTCTTCCAGTTATGCACTGACTGATTTGTGGCTTTTAAACTTTGACTTAAGTGCTCCGGACAGGTGGGAATGGAAAAAAATAAAGGTTCCTTAATTAAATCATTTTATCCGTAACGACAGGCTACAACTCGGACTACGGTTATGAAGTAGTTGTTTTATGTCCCTCTTTTCTTTTTTAGATTTTTTGTTTTTAAGATAAACAACCAGGAATTTTCATCCTGGCAGCTCTGGTTACATACCGCTTGCAATGTGGGTCATAATCTGGTTGTGCTTGGTTCGCACTACGGTCCACTTGTTGCTGCAAAGTGAGGAGTCTTATTTTTACATATGATCTTCTTTTCCCTTTCAATCCTCACTTTAACATTTGGAAATAAATGCAGGGATCCACTTTGTACTTCGACATCTGCTACATGTTATAATTGCCCGCCGGAAATTCTCTTTGAGGGAAGCCGGGATTTACGTTCAAACTCTGGTGGCAGTGACGCCAATGCTGATAAGAGTAATTTCCTGAAAACAGTTGGGGAGGACCAGAGTATTTTGCACGGCCCTCAGGTCTTAATTTTGTGGCTGATAAGGGATTATCTCTGAAAATATCAAGGAAACTGATCTATATTGTTTTTCGAATTTTTTTTTTCATTCAGTTCCAACACATGACAGCTGTTTATATTGTAGGTTTCACCTGATAGCGATAAGTTTTTATTATGCCGTAGTCGAAATGATTGTTCTGAAGGTAATTCGGTGAAGCAGCAGTCAAGGTACATTGTTGGTAGATCGTAACTTGTGTATTTGCTTTTTCTTTATCTTTTGGTCCTCTTTCAAACAAATTTATGTTTTTCCTCAATTTATCTGCTTTTTGAACCTTAAAAATGAGCTTCTGTTTAGAGATGAAAATCATAGTTTCGTTTGTAGTTGCGGCAACTGTAGCTTGCAAGGTTGGTTGAAATTTTTCAAATTTCAATAATGAATCGTTGTTTGATACTTAATTGTCGGTTTTACTAATCTACAATTTACTTTTCTTTCACTAAGCTTTACGAAAGTTTCTGTCTAAGCAACTATTTTTGGCGACCAGAATTTAATTTTTTTTAGAACATAATCGACCATATATGGATCACTTTATACCTCAAGGCATCTTAACGAAATTTGTTAAATTTACTTGAGTTGATCAGTTTGTATTAGTAGCATCGTCTTCTGTTTATTATTTAATTTTTTCCAAAATATTTCATTGTTGATTAAATAAGTTTCATTTCTTTTACTCTTATTTCTGCTACCAAACTTTCCTTGCTGTTAGGTGGTCTTTTGCTTGCATTTTGAGTTTTGTTGCTAGTACATTTTTGAGTGCTAATGGTCAGTTATTCTTTTAGTTCCGTTACCTTCTAGTAGTGCTAACTTCTACAGCGGTAGACGACGGAACCACTCTTTAGATTTTGGGTTAGATCTTTTGGTTTTAGAGGATTGTTTCAGTCTATAGTTTATGGTTTATAACTTTTTCTTTTTATGTTTACTTTCTGTATCTGAAGTCGTTTATCAGTTTGATTATAAGCCATGCGTTGTTCTTTTTAGTAGTTTAATTTTATCGTTTACTTTGAGGTCTAATGCAAACTGTGAGCTGAACTCTGATTTTTTTCCTGATGGATCTCAACCAAGCACAAGTCACAGTCATTTGGAGACGTCGTCATCGTCAAAGTCAAAGATACAAGAGCTAGGTTGTCGTGGAAGAATACTTTTCCAATAAATATATATGGACTTTTAAAGTTGTACTGTTCTAGAAACCTTACCTTTTATGCATTTTCTCCTATTTCCATAAAATTTGCTTTTTTAACAGGTGATCTTTTGTTTAAGATAGGACTTATCCGGGTATAAAACCGAGATTTTTGAAGCAAGAAAGGTTCTATGATTTAACTGCTGTACGTAGGTATTTGAATGTATACGTTCTGGACCTCTCTTTAGCTATCTCACACGGAACGGCAAGGTTTGTATTGGTACTCATTTTTTTTAGCAGAGTCAGATGGGTTGCTTGCAATAATAAAAGCTATCGTTTATTTATTTCCAGTTATGGATTTCTTCTAATATTTTTTTGTTCTTTAATTATGTCTAATTTCTAGTTGTAATGTTTCCATTAGCTTCTTATAACTTGTGCAGGTGGCGAAAACAATCTCCGGAGATTAACGCACCTCATGATGTCAGATCTTACTCAATCTGTTCTGGTCGTGGTGAACTAATAGTTTTTGGAGGAGTTTTAGTAACATACGGAAGAATTAAATCGAGTTTAAACCAGCAGCTAACTAATAACAACACCTATGTTTTGCAACCGTGCTACGTCATATGAATTATTTTCTGGGTTTTAGATTCACTAGTTTTTATTTTAAAATTCAGTCTTCTGTTTCAGTGCTGCCATCGTTTTTCACATTATACTGGTTTATTTTGCGAAAATTCGAACCTCTGCAGAGAGTAGTGAAGGGCATAAATTTTTCTTATTTTTTTCAATGTTTTTGAATGTTGTGGCTGTTGTGCTATCGTGTTTTTCTTATCACCAGAGTTTTTTTGTAAATTGTGTTGTCTTCTCTTGATAATATATTTATTGTTATCTTTCAGCGATTAAATAATCAGTTGAAATTGTAGTTGTGCAACTGAAGAAGATGCATAAGTTGTATAAAAATTAGCGGTGTAAGCATTGTCAAATAAATTCTTTTGTTCGGTCAGAATGATTGGCCTATCATTGTCGTTTCATTTTGATAACTAAGAGTTGTGCAGATTGCTGCGAGAACTCATCACACTTGATTTATTTCATTCAAGGATAAGTGTAAGTTTAGTTCATTCACCGTTCTTTATTGGTGCTTTATATTTTAGTTGCCGTGGTTCTTTGAATTAGGCCATGGTATTTTAGGGGACTTACGGCTGGCGAATTCTACCGCGGGCAACCAGTGAAATCATCAAAGCTATGGTACATCGTTTACTTAGTTGGAGGCGCAGTTCTTAACCTATCTACCTTAAACCACTTTCATTTTAGAGTGGCAATTTGGCTATTTGTAATATTACTGCTGAACTGAAAGAAGAGCTTAAGAAGTTTCGGTTCGATAAAAGCCAGAAAACAAACGTCTTGATTTGTTAGTTTTTTCTTTTTTTTCCTGAAAGAATTGTTAAAGGTCTATGTATTTAGACCATATTTGAAGCGATTGCTTATATGTCTCAATACTTTACATCTTTTGAACTAGTTTTTAGTGAAGATCAATCGAGCTGAACAGAAGATTGAACTGGCTGAGAGGTTTGAGGTAGAACTTATCGCTTAATTCGTAATTTAATGATGTTGCATTATCTTCCATAGTTTGTAGCCACTTCAAGAGCCTGTGTTGTCACTAGGATAGTCTTTTAGTTACAGTTAATATTTTTGTGTTTTGGTTTATCACTTCAGTAGTCAGTTTCCCTCGACACTTTTAAGACCACTTTAGCTGTATTATTTATCGTAGATGATGAGAAATATTCGCAAGAAATTTATTCGTCATGGTAAAAAAGTTGCTTTTTTTTAAAGCGATTTTTCATTTTTGTAAAATGAACCTATTTTTTGTTTTCTCGTTTAATCATCAATTGCCCCTTCAGGATTGTGATCTGGACGAGATTCGTGATGAACTGCCTCCTCAGCAACCTCGATACATCCTTATGAGCTACAAATTGGTTCATCCAGATGGGAGATTTTCGTTTCCACTGTGCTTGATCTACTACACCCCGACTGGTATAATTTAATCCTTAATTTCCAACTTCCAGCTGCATTTGTCGTTTTCGGGGCCTATGCGTAATTTTACCATTTATTGCTTTAGGTTCAAGTCCTGAAGTGCAAATGCTTTATGCAGGGAGTAGAAATTACCTTGCGAGAGAATGTCAGTTGAATAAGGTACAACTTGATTCTTTGGTAAAATTACTGAAATATAGTGTAAAATGTTTTTGGAAACTTATGTACAGCTTAATTTAGACCATCGAACTGAGAGAACCGGAAGATTTGACCAAAGAATACTTGGAGTCGTTTTTACTTATAAAATAATGTTTCATTAATTACTTTTATTCAAGTTAGCCGGCCTCTTGATGCAAAAAAAAAAAAA